CGCGCCTCGTCCAGGCTCTGCTCCAGAATGTCCTTCTCCGCCTGGGGCAGAGAGAGGTCATTTTGGGGTGCTGGCTTCCCCAGAGGCCTGCCCTAGGCAAGCAGAATCCCAAGGAGACGGCGGCAACTTCACGGTCAGGTGTGTGGACGGACGCAGTCTCACTACTGTACACTGGGCGGGGAGAAGCCACGGAAGAGCCACCCACCACGCCTGGAAAACGTGCACATTCACGTCCAAGGAGAAAGGAACGCAGGAAGCTGGCGACCTCTCAGGACACCGATTCCTCCCTTTACCAGGTCAGCCTTCTCCTTCAGCAGATCTCCCGGCAGTTCCGCGGCGAGGGAGAAACCAGCAGACGGGTTGTTCCCTCTGACACTCACTTCCCAGGAAGCAGCTAATAAACAGGGACACAATCCAGGCTGCAGGAGGGCCGGTGCACCGGGCCCAGTGAATGCTTGTGGAAGGAATATCTCAATACTAATCTACTGAGAGGGGCGAGGAGGAGAAGCCGAGGGTCATTGCTCACTCACTGCTCTGCTTCAGAGCCACCCTCTCTCCCGTGCACATGAGGCCCAGAGGGCGGAATCTTTCCAGGCAGAAAGGTTTCTTTCTCCCCATCCTTAACACGAATCCCATGTTTTACAATTGGCCAAGTCCCCTCCAAAACACAGTGGCTGCAGTAAACCCACCGAGCGGGGCATTGTGATGCACCTCCAGCGGCTTTCGTTTTCATTTGTTTGAAACAGGGTCTCCCTCTGTCGCCCAGGCTGGAGTGCAGTGCCGTGATCTCAGCCCCCTGCAGCCTGAAACTATCAGGGTCAAGCGATCCTCCCATCTCAGCCTCCTGAGTAGCTGGGACCACAGGTGTGCGCCACCATGCCCGGCTACTTCTTGTATTTTTTGTAGAGATGGGGTCTCGCCACGTGGCCCAGGCTGGTCTTGAACTCCTGAGCTCAAGCTATCCGCCCATCTCGGCCTCCCAAGTGCTGGGATTACAGGAAAGAGCCACTGTGCCCAGTTCCAGCTTTTAATACTGGTTCCAGCAGCTTTTAATTGTGCCAATTTTGGGGTCTGGGGAACAGCAGGAAGGAAGGAGGTAAAGGGAAAGTGGGTGAGAAGAGTCACCGAATTTCACCTCCTGTCCTTCGCCTCACCTTAATTAAACCATCTGCCAGAAACCCCACAGCCTGGGGCCAAGCTCCCAAGGCAGGAGGCTGCTCTCCGCCCGGGGGACCGGAACCTACCAGGCTGAAAGTCAGCGAGCGCAGTTTCTCATTCTCCTCCTTCAGGCGGTTCAGCTCCTCGTCCGCGGACTCCTGGTCGCTGGCCGTCCTCAGGGACTGCTCTTGCAGTTCCAGCTCGCAGGAGGAAACCACGTTGACTCGCTGCAGCTCCTGCCTCAGTAGATACAGCTGTGCAGGGGGGAGGCGACAGGAAGGGCAATGGAAACAGCTTCTCCCCTGACCAGGAGCTGGGTGGATTTCTCACCCTTCCTCCTGATGATGCTTTTCACACTCAGGAGGCTTCCGGCCTTGAGACTGAAAAACCCACAAAAGGGTTCACCTAATGAATAGTCCCAAATATTCGTCTGGGGCTGGGAGGACAGAGGCCTTTCAGCTCTGTTGTGTAGATGAGGCACCATGGTTGAACTCCATGCAGGGTTAGGGTCCCAGGAATAGACCAAGAGGCCTTGATAACCAGCTCCTGGATCTCTACAGCTGAACAGCCGGCAGTGATGGCCACAGCATGCTCCCCGGCTTCCCTGCTTGTCCATATTCTTCTAAATACATCAATAAAGGGAATTTGGCGTCATGGGAATCAGTAAGAAGTGAGAGAGAGGAAAGCCAGGTCGGATGGGGTAGATGTGCCTGGGAACGTGGGACTGGGGCTATTCAGACAGTAAAGCCCCTGTACTGATTTGCAATCTGTGTGCAGGGCCCTGGCCTTCCAGGACTGTCCCACCAGGTCCTGCTGGCCTCCTTCCTCTGGACAGCAGAAACTCGGAGCTTGAGCAATGGGTCCGGCCTCTTCCCATCCTGGGTGTGGCAGCCCTGGGGAGGCAGGACTTTTCCCATGAGGCAAGCCCGGGAAGTCTGTATGTCAGGGTGGGTGCTGGTGTTCACCCCTGGGCTGTGGCCAAGAAGGACCTTTCCACCTGGACATTCCCCTCCCGACACCCACTTAGCACATTCTCAGTTCGCAAGTACCCAGCTCCTGCAATGGTCCAGCTGGGCTGGGCACGTCACAGTCTACAGATTCCAAAAGTAAAATCAAGTCAGAGTTGGAAGGGAACAGGAAAACATGAGACTGAAAGTGAACCAGAACAAATGAACCGAATTCTATTTCCCACAGACGCCATAACCACAATGAAGAGAGAGACTGACAGACAAGGACAGAGAGAGCGAAACTACAGTGACTCACAAACACGGCGTTTGATTACAAACCCTCAGCCTTGAGCAAGACTGGGTGGTGGGGGGAGGTGAATTACAAACAAATCCAGTGCTCATCTGAGTGGGGTTGTTAATGGCAGTGGTATGGGCAGAGCGATTCTGAAGCGATGTGAGATGTACTGCAGGACTGAGCATGGCGGAATGTGCTGGTCACGCTGGGAGCAGGGTTCCCACTGGGGAAGGAACACACACATACGGAACGGGAGAAGGCAAGAAAAAGCCACGGGGCATGGGTTGGAATTAGAGGTATGGGTGAGAACACAAGATTTCTGAAGTATGCATGTGAACTGTATGTATACTTCCATGCATATGAGTATGTGAGTGTACACAGACAAGTATGTATGTGCGTATGTATATGTATATTTCCAAACGTGTATGTGTGTTTCCTAGCTCTGTTCCCTGAAAGGGCTGAGAAGCAGACACCCCAGTAGTGATGGGCACACCTACGCCCAGATCTTGTTCTCTAAAAGGAGACAGGAGTCCAGGAGCTGTGGCTCATGCCTGTAATCCCAGCACTTTGGGAGACTGAGGTGGGCAGATCGCCTGAGGTCAGGAGTGTGAGACCAGCCTGGCCAACATGGTGAAACCCCGTCTCTACTAAAAATACAAAAAATTAGCCAGGCGTGGTGCTGCTCGCCTATAATCCCAGCTGCTCAGGAGGCTGAGGCAGGAGAATTGATTGAACCCGGGAGACGGAGGTTGCAGTGGGCTGAGATGGCGCCACTGCACTCCAGCTTGGGTGGTAGAGCGAGACTCCGTCTCACAAAAACAAACCAAAAAACAAAAAGAAAAAAAGGAAGTGGGGCCCTCAGAGAATGGGCTGAGCCTGGATTTGGGGTAGGCTGGGTACAAGATGATCCTGTAATATCTTGTGAGGCCAGATAAGAAGTTGGTGCTCCACAGACAAGGGACCTGTCTCAGGACATGGAGCTGGTTGAGGGCTCCATGGGTCACATCTGGGTCCATTTGAGACCAGAATCATTAAGGACAGTGAGAGGTCAGACCCCTGCAGAGTAGGAACCCATGAACTGCGCCAAGAACAGAGTCAGCCACGGGAGAAGGGAAGGCAGAGGCCATGGGCAGCAGCAAAGTGGGGCACTGGCATGGTCATTATTCACAACCCCCAGGGTAGAGACCAGCTCCTGCCAGAGTCCCCACAGCAACGTCCCAGGAAATGTCCCCCAGGAGCATGGCGCGTGCTGGTCTCAGCGCCCCACACCCGAGATGCTTATCAGTTGCAGGGAAGAAAAGAAAGAGCGATTCTGCAGTAGAGCAACTGGGCTGCACCTTGGCAAGTGGTGGAGGGTGACATCGCCTGTGAGGGGCAACAGGACCTCGAGAGCTCTCAGGGGATGCCCTGAGTCAGGCCAGCAGCCCCTGTGCAGGGTCCTGGCCAAAGAACATAACTTCTGTCTACACGTGGGAAACACAAGACAAACCCCCAAATGAGAGGCCATCTATCATCGAAGGGAAGGGGTGAGGGCTTTAAAGGGGGCCATCTCGTAATAGACAAAGAAAGGCTGTGGGCTGTTCCCAAACAAAGGCAAGGAGGATAAAGAGAGGAACGGCGGAATGCAGGGCCCGACCCTGGGCTGGGGGGAAGGCTGTGAAGGGGTCACTGGGACAGATGATAAAACCGGAATGCAGAAGGATTGGATAAAAACAGGGTGTCCATACCAAAAAGACTGAAGTTGAGAACTGCACTGTGGCTATACAGGACTACGTGCTTATTTTCAGGAAGCAGACATTGAAGGGTTTGGTGGGGGTAAAGGGCCATGAGAGAGTAAAGGTATAAATGATAAAGCAAGGGTAGGTGGGTATTCTTTGTACTGTTTTTATTTGTGTGATTTAAAAATATATATTTGAAATAATTTCTAAATGAGAAGTAACAAATTAAAAACAAACAACAAATGCCATGATTAAAGGCAAAGGGCTGGCTGGCACAGGGGCTCACGCCTGTAATCCCAGCACTTTGGGAGGCCAAGGCGGGCAGATCACGAGGTCAGGAGATCGAGACCATCCTGGCTAACACAGTGAAAGCACGTCTCTGCTAAAAATACAAAAAACTAGCTGGGCGCGGTGGAGGGCACCTGTAGTCCCAGCTACTCGGGAGGCTGAGGCAGGAGAATGGTGTGAACCTGGGAGGCGGAGCTTGCAGTGAGCCGAGATTGCGCCACTGCACT